CCTCATGCGCCCCTTCCTGTGGCACCTGGACCAGCTCAGGAAGGCCCTGAGCTCCAGAAAAATGCCTGGTAAGAGGTGACGTGGGACACGCCTGCCCCAGGGCCAGCTCATGAACACACAGCAGTGCCAGGCGCCGAAGGCCAGGTGGGAGGCGGTTCGTGGCAGGAGGTTCAGGGCCACCCGGCCTGGGCAGCAGAGACAGTGCCCGACGGGGCAGGACTCAATCCTCAGTGAGTCCTCGTGTTCTTCCCGCAAGCCAGCCAAGCTCCCAGAAGCTTCTGCCAGAGGCGGAGGTGCAGATCACCCCGACGCCTGTCCCGCCGTCCTTCCTCGCCCTCACCGTGCTCTGTGTTGCACCTGCGCTGCCTACTGCCCCTGCTAGGACACGTGTGCTGTGGAGGCTGGCCCTGGCGTCACTGTGGCCCCAGCTGAACCAGCAGAAACTGAGCTGGGGTCCCGGGTCCATATCTGAACAGGGGGGACCCTCTGGAAGCCCTGCCTGCTTTGGGGCCGTAACACTCGAGCTCCAACTCCAAGCAACTGGTGAGACGCTGGCGGGGTAGCGTCTGTGCGCCACGCACAAGCTTTGTGCGAGAAGGAAACCAGCACAGACCACGGTGAACGTGCACCACGCTGGTGGAGGGCTCTGGCCACGGGAGCATCGCAGAGCATGCCGCCTCTGGGGCCGGGCAGGACAGGACAGCAGGGCTCCCTGACCCCACCCAGGGTGCACCGCCCTCCCCGGCCTCTAGTCAGCTCCCTCCCCAAGCCACACCCTGTGGCCGCTGACACTAAGGGAGTCCCGTCCCTCAGTCTCCGCAGCCTCCTCTGCTCACCCAGACCCTGGCAGGGGGAAGCCAGACCCCCCAGAAGGCTCTTACCGCTTCCTCGGGCACCCAAGAAGCCCCTGGAGAGCGGCTTCCCAGCAGCCGAGCCACCGTGGCTGGCTGAAGGCGTCACGGCGGGCTGGTAGGCATCGCCCCGCGGGAGGGGCCTCTGGGCGCTGGGGCTCTCGGACCCGGGGCGCACGGCGTTGGCCACCACCTCCGCAGCCTTCTGGATGGTGGAGAGGAAGGCTTCGCCCGCAGAGCCTGCGCCACAGGGAGAGGGAGATGGCCTACTTTGGTCGCGTCCCCCGCGCTCTCTTGTGTCTCCCAGAAGGAGGCACTGCTTCCGCTCTGGGCTTGAAAGATGGAGATCTGAACTTAGTTACAGAGCAGAGGCCACGTGGGGGACCGGAGTTCTTCTGGAAGCTTCCCCGGTGGATTCTGCTCCAGGATGCTCCCGGGGCTGATGGAGCCTGGGTGCCCCACAGCTTACAGCAGAGCCAGGCCCCGGGGTCCCCTCGGCCACACGTGGCAGCAGGGAACCTCCTCAGGTGCTCGTCGCAGCATTCGCGATCCAGGTGTGGTTCGTGCCCTTCCCCACCCACGTGCCCTACGAGGACCGAGCACCGTCACCCCACCTCAGGACAAGCCAAGCCTCCGAGCCAGACCCGCTTTAGAAATTAGTGCTCCCTGAGGGCCGGGGGATCAGAGCCGTGACCAGAACGAGTAGCAGCAGGCCACCGAGGCAGGCCGGGCACGCAGAGCCAGCTCTGCACTGCACCTGCCGAGTCACCTGTGGCAGCCAGGCCCAGCGCCCTCCGCCCTTGGGCCCTGGAAGGAGCCCTGTGTGCAAATGAGGCCCAACCTGGCTTCTCCCCTGCTGGCTAAGCAGACCCGCCGCCCGGCCTCGTCCCACAGGCCCCGGCAGAGAAGGTCGAGTGGGCAGGGCACGCCAGCCCGGCCACACCACCCTCCAGGGCTCGGCAGGCCCGAGCTGCCAGGCCCTCGACCCCACGGCTCTGGGAGCCCACGCAGCACTCACCCGTGTGGCCCCGCTCCTTGCTGTAGCCGAAGCCCTGGAGGGCGCCCTGGGGTCTGGACTGCGAGCCCATGCCTGCAGGCAAGTGTGGCCACTCATCCTCAGCCCTGCGCAGAGTGGGACGCCAGCCGAGGACAGCAGGTGGGGAGAAGGGACCCCAGGCCCTCCCGAGGGAACACCCAGCGGCAGGGATGGACACGGTGGCCTACCTGCTGGAAGCAGGCCCCTGGGAGCCTGGGAGGGAGGCGGAGGGGACAGGCTGTCAGAGAACAGTGCGCTCCCCAAGTCCTAGACGAGGAGGAGGGTGCTCAGCACGTGCAGCCGGGCTGCCACCCCCCCATCCCCCTGTCCCCAGGGTTCTCAGAGGCCAGGCTGGGCAGGGCGGGGCGGGGGGGAGCTGGTCCCACAGCAGGAACAGAGCCAGGGTCCCAGGCGGTGGGAGAACAAAGGCCCAGTGCTGCCCTAGAGCCGACCTGAGTCCCGACTCACCTGGGCGGCCGCCCGCACCTTCTGGTACAAGCTGTTCCCGTGGAGAGGATCCGGGGGCCCTGAGAACGCTGAGGGCAGAGCCAGAGAACCAGCGCTGAGCGGGCGCTGCTGACCGCCGGGGTGACGCTCCAACACTCACATTCCCTGGGAGGTGAGCTGCAGCCCATCCCGGCCGTGGCCAGGCCCCGCAGGGGTCCCTACAACTCTGATCCCCGGCAGGTGGCCCTGGCAGCCCCAGGGTCAGGGTTAGCTCCCTAAAGCACAGGTTGGACCTCAAATCCCCCACATGACGGCACTTCTGGGTCAAAGTCCTTACAGCAGCCATCAGCCCGCGAAAGCTGCCACCTCCCAGAACGCTCTGCCCCGTGGACAAAGCCTGGGGAGCACCCAGAGCCCCTCATCCAGGACGCCCTGCCCCAGGCTGCTTCTAGAGCTGCACCCCCATCCTGGCTCATGGAGGCCGCACCCCTGCAGGCCCCAGCTCCCATGCTCACGCCAGGCCTGCGTGTCGACCTGCAGAGCACTACGAGGGTGCCCCCCTCCCTGACCCCACCGTCTCTCTGAGTTCCTGCAGGGGCAGCCTTACTACCTCGCACCCCCTTCCGCCCGGAGGACACACAGAGGATCTAGTCCAATCCAAAGCCCCACAGAGGTCCTGGGGGGCTGGGCAACAAAAGCCTGCTCTTTATCATGACCCACAAGCTCCACCTCTCGAAGGTCTGCGCTCAAGGTCACAGCAAGGGAGATTCTCCAGAAAGAACGAGCCCACCCTAGGCTCTGTCTCATCCGTCAGAGACGCACCTCTCTTCCCAGCCCCATGGCACTGTGCTGTCTCCACTGCGGCCGGTGGCCCAGGACCCGCAGCAGGGAGCCGAACCTCCAGTGAGTGGGGATGGCACCCCCTCATTCCCATGGGACTCCTGCCCTGGGGCCACCTCCCCACAGCCTGGCACTGTCCCCTGGGCTTGGAGCACGGCAGACGGAGGCTGCGGCCACGTGTTCCTGGGGCGCAGGACTGGGGGACGGCTTGTGTGCAAGTTGGCGGCACAGACACGCCCCGGCCGGCGAAAGTAAGCGAAGCAGGCCTGCTGTTTTTGCACAGGAGTTTTGGGGGGCTCTGGTGACGAGCACGAGCCCCGGTGGACACCGGGGGCAGCGGCCAAGTCTGGGGGCAGGATGCTCCCCGGGGCGCTGAGTGCCCAGCCTCGCCCAGCCCGTCTGTGAAGGGCTGACGGTGGCTTTGGGGCGGGGAGGTGCTGCCTAACGATGGGGGTCCTCCGTGCGCACCAGGTGCCTCCCCGGGGCTCTCACGGGCCCAGCTGGGTGTGCACGGTTCCTGCCTGAACGTGGGCCCTTCCAAGACTCCCCGAGGCCGTGCGGCGGGGCCTGTAGATGCTGCAGCCGGGACTCCGGCCTCCCCTGAGGGAAGGTCTCTAGCCCCGTCCCCCAAGTTCTAGTTAAAGAGAAACAAACAGGACAGCCCCCGGCGTGGGTGGGGTGAGACGGGCGGCTCCCCTGCAGCCCCATGTGTCGCCTTAGACGGCGACAGGCCAGGCCCCCCTGGAGCAAGCTCACAGCGCGCCCTGGCTGGGGCCCTGAGGACACGGAGCATCTCGGGCGGGTCGGGCCTGGGCCGCCCAGGCCGGGCAGGACACACGGGCGGAGAGTGACGGGCCCGACGCAGCAGGGCTGGGGCGCAGCCGGGAGCTGCCAGGAGGGGTCCTGCGGCGGGGGTGGCCCTGCCCTGGGGGTCGGGTACCTGCAGCCTCCTGGATGAAGGCGGGGTTGCGCTTGAGGATGAGCACGGAAGACGAGGAGCCGTGGCCACACAGGTGGAGCAGGATCTTCAGCACCTGGGGGCGGGCAGGTGGGGCAGCCGGCTCGCACCCCGCCCGCCGCGCCCCCGCGCCCCGCCCGCATCCGCCGCCCGCCCGTGGGAGCTGGGCCTGCCCTGCCGCGACGAGGACTCACCTTGAGCTTCACGCGGCCGGAGCCGCTGTGCAGCCGGGTCAGAAGGTACTGCAGGAGGCACTGGCTGCTGCCCGGGGACTCGTGGGAGATGCCTGCGGCCGTGGTTAGGGAAGGGCTGAGCGGGGTCGGCCGCGCCCCCCCCCCCCCGCCGCCCCCGGGCCCCGCCCCGCCCCGCCCCGCCCCGCCCCGCGGGCGAGCGGCGGACGCCAAGGATACGGGCGATCTCCTCGAACAGGTAACCCGGGCACGGGGCGTCGTCATCCGACGTTCCCTTCAGGAGCAGCGGGAGCTGGAGAGGAAACAGGGCCCGGCCCGCGAGGCGTGAGCGCCGCGGGGAGGGGGCCGAGGGCGACGGCAAGAGGCCCCGGCGCGGGCTGAGCGGCCGCCCGCACTCACCCGGTGCAGGAAGCTCAGCCGGTCCCGCAGCGCCGGCGTGGCCGCCATCGTGCCGGTCACCTTCCGGCCCCGCCCGCCGCCGCGGCCCCCCTCCAATCCCCGCGCGCGCCTGGCCCAGCTGGCCAATCGCTCGTGCGGGGCGGGCACACCACGCGAGCCTGAACCAATCCGAAGCCCCACGTCAAAGACAGACACAGCCGCCAGCCACTTGCAGTGCTCCCGGAGCCGGGGCGCCGTTCCGGAAGAGGGGCGGGGCTGGCGGTGGGGTCGGGCTGAGGCCCGGCCAATCAGGGGGCGCACGGAACGCTGGGCGCCGGAAGAGGGCGGGCGCAAGATGGCGGCGCCCACGGGTGCTGGGAGGAGCCGCTCATGTCCGGGAACGGAGCGGTGTGGGGGCGCGTGCGGGGCCGCCTCCGCGCCTTCCCCGGGCGCCTAGCGGCCTGCGGGGCCGAGGTGAGGAGCCGCCGGGCGGGGCGGGGCGGGGCGGGCCCGCGGGACAGGCGGGGCCCGCACGGGCGGGGCGGTGACCGGCGGGCGCGGAGGCCGTCGCGATCCCGGCGCGTCCCGCCCGCCCTCCAGGCCGCGGCCTACGGCAGGTGCGTGCAGGCGTCCACGGCCCCGGGCGGCCGCCTGGCGAAGGACCTCTGTGCGCCGGAGTTCGAGGCTCTGCGGCGCTGCTTCGCCGCCGCGGTAGGTGGGCGCCGCGCCCCCGGGGGACAGTGGGGCGCGGGGGGGCGCGGGGGGGCGGGGCCCGGGCGCCGCGGCACCTGCCGCCTCCTTCCCGCGCGTGCGCTCAGGCCCGCCGCGCCGCCCGACCCCGACGGCGAAGGGCGTTCAGGAGGCCGCTCCCCGGGAAGGGCAGCCCCCGAGCGGCGCTCGCTGGCCCTCTGGCCCCCGCGGGGCTGCTGCTCCGGGGCCGGGACTCAGCCGCGCCGCATCGCGCCCCTTCTGCTGCCGACGCGCAGCCTGCGGAGGTGCAGTGACCGCCTGCCCTGCCCTGCCCTGCCCTGCCCTGCCCCAAAGCGGAGAGTCACGGGTCGCGTGGAGCGCATGGGGTTGGACATGCTGCAGGAACCCGGCGCGCGAGGAGGGGGCCCTGGGCTGGGCCGGGATGCCCGCGGCCCCCTGTGTCCCCCGGAGCTGCTGGTGCAGAGAACGCGACGCGGACAGGGCGGTTGAGCTCGGCGGACTCGGGGACCTCAGGCCGACCGTCCCCCGACGTTCCGGGATCATCCCGAGCGGGTACCTGTGCCTTGGCCGCTTGTCCGGGAGAGGACGGTGCGAGGCTCCCTTCCCGGGGGCTCGGAGATCTTGCACCTCCCCGGGGACGCTCGGGCCTGGTCCTGCCGCCAGCCAGCACCGCCCCCCCCCTCGCCAGCCTCGCATATGACGTGGTCCGTGCAGCCAGGCACACCTGTCCCCTGCGCTTCCTCCCCGGTTCTGCGGTCTTCCCCGGGGGACTCTCCGCTCTGCGGCTGCGGCTTGGAAGAAGCTCCGTGGAAGGACCAGACACGTTCCCTACACACAGGTCTCTCCGTGGCACCTTTTGTGGGGAGGGCCCACCTGTTGCAGGCGCCCGTGTGCTCCTTTGCCGTGGTCGCCTACAGACGCTCCCACGGCGCGCCCTAAGCTTGGGGGCTCTTTCCCACGCCTCCATCACGGAAGATGACCCGCTGCGAGCTGGGGGACCTGACGTTCAGGACGAGGGTGCTTGAGTGTTTGTCACCACGAGGAAACGCACCGATGAGCACCTTTTTGCCCAGTCTGCTGCAGTCCCCAGCCCTGCACAGAGCTGCCTGAGGAGGCAGAGAGGGTGCTGGGTCCCGTCCAGCTCCGTGCCAGGGAGCCCTGTCTCTGGGCAAGTGTTTCGGCGCTTCACCTCAGCGTTCTCTGTAAGGAGCTCCCGCCGCCTCGTGAGCACTGAGCGCGCTGTGTTGGGGGGGCCTGCACGGGGCCTGGTCCAGGGCGGCGTGGCTTGGGGGCCTTGGCCTGCGGCAGCTCCGAGCACCTGAGCCTCCAGCCACGCGGCCGTGCCGGCGCCCGCAGCCCGGCTCTCTGGAAGATGTTTGCTGCCGGACGGCGTTTGGTGGGATGGTTTTCTTGTTTTATGGTCTCCTCTAACTTAACCTGTTCACACCAAATTCTTTATTTTCTAGGCCAGAAAGACCCTGAGGGGAGGCCTTTAGGATGGACGAGCAAGCACTGCACTTGTTTGCTGCCCCAGGGAGCAGAGCCGGGCGCCTGGTGCTGACGGCCGCCAAGGGCAAACGTCCAAAACGTCTGACACTTTTAGAGCTAGAAGGACTGCAGGCGCGTCGGGGAAGTGGTGGGCGAGCGGGCGTGGGTTTTTCTGCCTCGCGTGTGAGGCTTTGGGTTAGAGTAAGATGCTGAAGCGATAATAAAGACCACGGCAGACCACGTGAGAGCTGTCCTGTTGGACGCGGCTGTGGGAACACGCTGCTCAGGAGTCTCACTTTCTCAAGAATTCTTACCCCAAATGCCTTATTTGAGCCTAACGGAGCCGCCAGATGTAGCTGCCAGTTTACAGACGTGCCAAAGATAAAAGCACAGCCACACCAGAGAAGGGAGAGGTGCCCTCGAGGGACGGTTGGGCTTAGGAAGCCAGGGCAGTGCGGGGTGCCTGCCTTTCTGAGGCCCCCCAGGGTCAGAGCCTAAGCCCTCCTGGCTTTCCTTGCCCCGCCCCTGACCTGGGAATGAAAGTAGGGGTGGCACCGCCCCTGAATGCCTGGCACGGGGCCGGAGCGCCACCTGCTGGATGCCTGGGGACTGTGCTCCAGGAGCCCCTCCTGAGGCACGGAGGTCACCCTGCCCTTGGGCACCACCCAGCCCCTGGCTTGCTGGAGCCAGGCATCCGTGACACTGTGATGCCGGGCTTCTCTGGCCCCTCACGCTCTCCACTCCGCCCTCTGCGGCAGGGTCCGGGGCACACTTCTTGTGAGGAGCCTGCAAGACGCGTTCCACAGGCGTCCTCCTGTGTGTCCCTCCTCTTCGGGCTACACACCAAACTCCCAAGTTTCTTGGCCTTTGTCCTAGTTCTCTGGCATCCCCAAACTCAGTCCATCCTCAAGACCATGTTTATTGGGGGAAATACAAGAGAACTGGTGTCTGGATGCAGCCATTCCTGGAGCTGCATCGTCACATAGAACCCTTCGTCCTCAGGCAGCATCTGAACTCAGGGCTTGCGTGCACCAGGTTTCCATCCTTACTCCTACCCGGCCCTCTGGGCTTGGTGGCCCTGCCCTAGAAAGGGAATCCTCACGAGATCCTACCCCAGTCGCCTGGGGCAGCTCCTACGAGGACAGTCAGTCACTGATGGCCCTGCGGGCTGCTGCTCTGGCTGGACCACTCACTGCACCTGCTGGTCTTGACACCAGTCTTCTGTGGTCACAAAGCAGACTACGGCCCCCAGCCCCTGCCAGCTCCCTGTGGTTCTGGCGAGGAGCCCCACCCACAGGTCCCGGTTCTTCCCTGAGGGACTTCGGGCTGGGGAGGCCGGGAGAGCATGAATGGTAGGGAGACCCCAAGGGTCGGGGGGGCGGGGGGGGGGACAGGGACTGGGTCCCTGCTCTAAGGAAATGACCTCCTGTGGCAGGAGAAAGGCCTTACCTCCAGGAAGACATAAAACTTGGGTTGAGGGAAGACGTCCAGGTAAATACACCTGGGAATAGAATCCCACCCTGAAAACATATGGACACATAGAGTTCCGACCTCAGGGCAGCCTCCAGAAGGTGTTTTCCCACTGAGCGGGGTTTGTCTAGGATAGTCATTAAGCGAAGGCCAGGAAGCAAGGAAGCACCCCAAGACTCACCCCCTTCCTCATGGGCTCCCTGCCAGCGCTGGCGCCGGCCTCAGGAGGAACTCCTCGGGTCTAGTCCTTAGGCTGCCCGAGAACACGGGAACCACAACAAACAGGATTTCAAAGGCGCAGGGGCAGGACGACACCGGAAGCCAGGGCTGGGGCTGCCGAGCCGCGGTGGTCTTCCCGAGGGCCTGGGCACCTCCAGCCAGCGGCCCCTGGCGGCAGGGTCCGGGGCACACACGGCCCTCGGGGGGGCACAGCTGCTGGGCCCTCGGCACGCAGGTGGACAGCCTGCCACGGCCACCCCTGCCCACCGGCTCTCCCGTTCCTTGAAAATACGACACCACAAACGCCACCCGGCTGCCCACAGGGTCTTTCCGGGGCCGTGCCGTGCCCAGTTGCACCCCACCGCCAGTCTGGTCAGCAGACTCCCTGCACGTGGCCACACCGGCTCCTCTCAACACCGGCTTCACTGACCCAACATTGGGATGTTTCTTATTTGTAAAACAACTTTATAGTTTGGGAAAGCACAGGGAGCGCAGAGGGACCGTGACAAGGGCCGAGGCGGCCACGCACTCGGGCAGCTGGCTGACCGAGACGCCGCAGTCCCAGCCCCATGTCCTCCCACGTGGAGCCGTGGCCACCGAGCAGCTGAGCAGAGGCCAAGTTCGTGACAGTTCTCCACACACTCGGAGCACCACGTGAACCACGACTATGTAGAGCAAGAGGCAGTCCGGCGGGCGGTGGGCCTCACGGCAGCCCGTGTCACCTCGGGGCCACGCTCCCCGGCCGGCCGCTGCATCGTCTGAGTCCTGGTGAGCTCGGTCACCCCGGCAAGTTTAAGATGCGGGCTGGCAAAGACACAGGCCGTCCACACCCCTGCCACCGCGGGACCTCTGACTCGGCACCCACGTGGTCCCCGCGTGGTTGGGGGAGGAGACCTGCCGACCAGGAGGACCGTGGCGGCTAGTGGCTACTCAGGACTCCTCCCGGGCCCCGGCCAGCTGCTTCACCTGGCGGCCGTGGACCACCCGCAACGCGCCCCCCGCGGCCTGGTGCAGCTGGGTCTCCAGGGCGCTGCGGAGGTCATTGACCTGCACATCTGGCAGAGGGTTAAAGCTGATGATGACCCTGTCCCTTGGGGCTGGGTCCCCCCCTGCCCCAGGAGCCACATCCCGCCGTCTCCTCCTCAGGTCAGAACCGGCCTGGACTTTCAGGTCTCGGTTGGATTTGGCATGGTCTGGCTTCTGAGCCCCAGGGACAGCTGGTTTGGGCCCAAGGTCAGGGTCCGGCCTCTGCTCAGGCTCTTGGACGGCAGGGTCTACCCCCAGAGCAGGCACACGGTCCCCGCCAACGGCCTCCTTTCTGGCCTCCAGGTGACCGCCCTGCTGCCCAGCCTGGCCCCCGGCAGAAACAGCCCGGTGTGCCAGCTGACCGGTCTCGGCCTGGGCCCCAGGGGCTGCTCCTCCCGACCTGCTGGACAGGCCTGCAGGTCCCCGGTCTCGGCTCACTGGCTGGGGCTTCGCAGGAAGGTCCCCAGTCTCTCTTGCTCCTAAGACCTCTACCTCCTGAACGTTGGCACCAGTGGCTCCCACCTCTTTTCTGGATCGTCTCCTTTCGTGGGAGCCTCTGCCAAGAGTGTCCTGACCCGGTTCCGGGACCTCGGCAGCAACAAACTTCTCTGGGCTCCTGGGCACCTCGGCAGGGCCTGGCTCAGGCACCTGCTCCTGCACGCCAGCGTCGGCGGCTTCGGGCACAGCGCCCTGCCGGCCTTCCCTCGGCTCGGCCTGGACTGCCCGGGGCTCCGTGCGGGCTGCGCCCGGAGGAGCAGCTGGAGCTCTGCCTGCAGCCCCCTCGGGCTCCTCCACCGAGCGCGGGCCGTGTCCCTGGGGCGGCGCAGGGGGATGCCCAGGAGCTCCACGTGCAGGTTCCAAAGGCTGCTGGGGGTGAGGCTCCACTGTCTCCCCATCGTGGGACTCCTGCTCCTTACCTCTGGGGACAGCCACCCCAGGCTCCGGCTGCGCTTCAGCTGCAAACGAAGTAAGTCTCAGTTTAGCCACAGAAATAAGCAGAAGCTACCACCACGGGGACCAGAGAGGGGAACTCGCAACAATCACACACAAATCAAAGCTCTGCCCACAGGACTGCAGGTCCCGGGGCCACAGACCCAGCCACACGGAGCCACCAGGAGCCCCAGCTGGTGATCACACGTCCAGTGACAGCCGCCTTCCCCGACCCGGCCCTGACTTGCCGTCCTCGCCATCCTGCCTCTGCTGATGGATCTCCTTGTGCTGCTCCTCAATCACCGCCAGCAGCTTCTCCTGCTGGTCCAATAGCCGCTTCTGCTGGACCTGCTGCTCTTTGATCACCTGCAACAGGACGGCGTGGTCCAGCAGCTCCGCCCGGCCTGCTTCTGGCGAGGGGAAGGCGCACAGTCAGAGCCTGTCCCGGCCACACAAGCGCAGTGCCGGGCAGACAGTGGTGGGATGCCCGCCCTGGGACGCCCCACGCCTGCACTGGCTCCCGTGGGCCCCACTGCTCAGACTGCCGCCCGCTGGGAATAAATGTTGGGAGAAGCTAGAGAGGAGGTCTGCCACAGTGGGAACGACAGCAGGGTCCTGGGCTAGAGGGTACAACCTACAAACTGCTCTAAAATCAGAATAGCAGCCCTCGGAGAGTTTCCTCCAAGGGGAGAATCTAAGAAACAAACTGTCTTCCTTTCCAGCAGTGACCAGCACTGGGACCTCGATGAGGCAAAGGCCAGCTGCAGATAATACAGGGGTCCTGAGGCTGCTCCTGACCGCCACCCGGGGGGCTGGTGCAGGCTGGCACGGGGGTGGGGGGCAGCGCAGCAGGTGTGCGTCAGCGGCCCCGCCACACTCTCCCCACACCCCTAGCCCAGAACTTGGGCCCAGGAGGAGGCCCTGAGTCTGAGCACCCGGCGCCAGCAGTGTGTGCATGAGGGGGCCCGCCTTTCACTACCAACGCCTCAGCCCTGGGTCAGCTATGTTCCAGGCAGCCATGGCTCGTGTAACTGCTATGACACGTGTGTCCTTAAGGTGACATGAGCGGTTAGGGCAGGTGGGTGGGCAAGTTCACAAGGAGTGGTGAGAGCACACATCCCAGTGAGGCCCCACGTGCTGGGCACACACCAGGGTGACCTGTGACCTGCCACAATAGCACAGTGGTTGGCGTCCCCACCGAGAGGCCCACAGCAAGAACGAGGCACGTGGAGGACGGACCCTGTGAGCACGAGGCCCCTCAGCCAGCCCCAGAGCAGCAGTCCCCACTCCCAGCCCGCTGTCATCCAGATGCCCTCGGGTCACAAAGGTGCCTGCCTCAGAAGGGCCACATCCTGTGGATGGGACCAGGGCTCCACACACAGCCTTTTATATGGGGGACGTTTGCAGCGTCGTCCCCCCAGGGCTCTAGACCAGCCACCGGCCATGAGCCTCACTGTCACCCTGGATACCCATGGCTCGTGGCCATATAATGGTCAACAGTACAGGGACAGCCTCACATGCTGCCACAACTGCCCATCCCCAGGGCAGGTGCTGGAGGGGGGGAAGTGGTGCCTGTCATGTCCAGCCAGAAGCAACGGGTGGGGCAGATGCGAAACAGAGTGGTGACAAGCCATGTC